GAGAAAGGACATTAAATGTGTTCGATAAATCTATAGAATAATGACATACCTCATATAAGAGAATAGGTTGAACCGGATGATGATCTCTGAGTAGATTTAAAGTAGTACTTAATATTTGACACTTTAAAAATGGTCTTTGCATAGTAAGAACTGTATTGTAATATAATATCTCCATCACACAAAAAGACAGGATATTAAAAGTAGATCCCTTTATAATCTGTAAACAATTTTCTCCTTGTTATATTACTTGTACATGAATTCTCCTTTATTAGACATATGTAATAATGAACCGCCTCCGTAGTCGAGGGGTTAGAGTGGATGACTTCTAATCCAGTTACCTCTCTGGGGTGGGTTCAATCCCAGGAGATGCTTTGGTAGTTTAGTGCAGAGGAAGGTAGTCTTAGTACTACTGTAACTCGTCACGAATGATGGTTAGGAAACTACCCACCTATATGACTGAAAAACTGTTGGAAAAAGGTGCAAAATGAAATAAACAAACATAATAATGAGCCTAAGCATTACTTAAACTGTGTCACAAAAACATAGTCAGGTGAGCGATTCAGGGCCATCATGGCCCTCTTGTTGTCTATTAACTTACTACTATATATTATAAGAATGTTCTAGGAGGGATTTGAAGGTCCTTTGTGCCTCCCTAGCAGTTGTTAGTGCACCTGAGCAGTCCTTAGCGGTCCGACAACTCTTCAAAAACATGAATTTTATCACTAAAATGATATTTTTTCTTAAAATTATACATTTTTTGTCACTAAACATACTACCATGAATTATAAGAATGCCCCAACAGTTATTTTAAGGTCCTTTGTGCCTCCCTAGGAAATATTTATAGGTCTTTGTGCCTGCCTAGCAGTCCTTTTCGCACCTGAGCAGTCCTTAGCGGTCCTGCAACTCATCGAAAGCATAAATTCTATCACCAAAATTATATTTTTTTCTTACAATAATACATTTTTGTCTATTAACTTACTACCATATATTATAAGAATGTTCTAGGAGGGATTTGAAGGTCCTTTGTGCCTCCCTAGCAGTTGTTAGTGCACCTGAGCAGTCCTTAGCGGTCCGACAACTCTTCAAAAACATGAATTTTATCACTAAAATGATATTTTTTCTTAAAATTATACATTTTTTTGTCACTAAACATACTACCATGAATTATAAGAATGCCCCAACAGTTATTTTAAGGTCCTTTGTGCCTCCCTAGGAAATATTTATAGGTCTTTGTGCCTGCCTAGCAGTCCTTTTCGCACCTGAGCAGTCCTTAGCGGTCCGGCAACTCATCGAAAGCATAAATTCTATCACCAAAATTATATTTTTTCTTACAATAATACATTTTTGTCTATTAACTTACTACCATATATTATAAGAATGTTCTAGGAGGGATTTGAAGGTCCTTTGTGCCTCCCTAGCAGTTGTTAGTGCATCTGAGCAGTCCTTAGCGGTCCGACAACTCTTCAAAAACATGAATTTTATCACTATAATGATATTTTTCCTTAAAATTATACATTTTTTGTCACTAAACATACTACCATGAATTATAAGAATGCCCCAACAGTTATTTTAAGGTCCTTTGTGCCTCCCTAGGAAATATTTATAGGTCTTTGTGCCTGCCTAGCAGTCCTTTTTGCACCTGAGCAGTCCTTAGCGGTCCTGCAACTCATCGAAAGCATAAATTCTATCACCAAAATTATATTTTTTTCTTACAATAATACATTTTTGTCTATTAACTTACTACCATATATTATAAGAATGTTCTAGGAGGGATTTGAAGGTCCTTTGTGCCTCCCTAGCAGTTGTTAGTGCACCTGAGCAGTCCTTAGCGGTCCGACAACTCTTCAAAAACATAAATTTTATCACTAAAATGATATTTTTTCTTAAAATAATACATTTTTTGTCACTAAACATACTACCTTGTATTATAAGAATACCCTAGGAGGTATTTTAAGGTCCTTTGTGCCTCCCTAGCAGTCTTTTGTGTATCTGAGCAGTCCTTAGCGGTCCGACAACTCATAAAATTTTCACCAAAATCATATTTTTTCTTAAAATTATAATTTTTTTTTCACTTAAAATAATACCATGTAATATAAGAATGGCCTAGGAGGTATTTTAAGGTCCTTTGTGCCTCTTTAGTAGTCCTTTGTGGCTCCTTAGCAGCCCTTAGCGGTCCTTAGCAGTCCTTAGCAGTGTTTAGTAGGACCCATTTAACATGAATGGTGCATAGCAGAGGCTATCTATAGGGACAGATTTCTGTCTTCTAGATGCTGTTAAGTCATGGTTTTGGTAAGGAAGAGCACAAGGCATTTTAGGGGAAAATATTATAATTTTTAGGGGAAAATATACCTTTTTTGTCATATCCGGTATTTAAAGTCATATCCGTGGATATGAGTCATATCCGGTATTAAGTCATACCCCTTCACGGTCCCTGCCTTTGACTTCCCCTTATTATCAGTATGTTATACGGGGAAGTCAAAGACCGGGCCCGCGAAGCGGGTCCGGGCTTTGGCTTGCCCGGCTATAGACTACACGTGTATATTTAAAAGAAAAATCAAATAAAAAACAATTAAAAAATATATAGAATTCTATACCTATCAATGAAATTTTCAGTGTCAGTTCTAGTCGGGCGCCACCATTTACAATGTAACTCAATGATAAAAGGCGGGGTTTTCCGATAACGGAACAAATCTCAACTTTTCGGATCAATAATAAACGTCGAGTGTTCCGAGTGAAAACGGAAGCGGTGCCTAATTTCATATTACCGTAGGGAATGAGAAGGTGCAATTCATTAGCCCTTCCATCAGAGCCCAGAATCATCCTACAGGTATTGTACAGTACAATATTTGGATGTGTTTTTCTTACAAATAAATTTCATCAAAAGCAAAACTTTTTTCAACTTTAACTGCAAAAATTAAGAAAAATGTTTAAAAGCTGACTGAGTATTTTTTAATGTGCCTGAAAATGAGTACTTTTTAATATGTCTGAAAATTTTTAGGACATATTATGATATGGTGTTGTCTGTCTGTTCCTCTCTTTTGTGGCAGGGCCCATAGATGGGGGATAATGTCTCGTGGAACAGGAAAAGAAATTAGAACTGACATCCATAGAGACGATATTGATGTATCGTTGTATAAATTATTTTAATTTCTATAAATTATGAAAATTCACCCAAAAAATATACAAAAGCACGTGGCTACGCCTAAGCTGTTGATACATTATGGACACATTTCATAGCATGACAAAAAAGGTTAGGAAAAAATTATGCACAGGACACAACATATTTGTTTGAACAGAAGTTGAACATATTTTACTAAAATCATTTAAACAGGTATAAAAGTAAGATATGTACAAGAAATTAGGAGTATATATCAATATTTCGGTGTATTGCTGATATTTGTCATCCGATATTGATGTATCGTCAATATGCTTTGCTATGAATCAATGACAGTTCTAATTGAAATTAATTTTTTTTTGAGAAATTAAAGTAAAAGCATTTCACTTTGATGTACACTCACTACATTGTAAAATGATTGACCTGGAAATTGATGTTTCTAAATTCTTGAACTTGTCAGTTTGTCTGACCGTAGTTTATTTATGTCAGTAGTGTTCACTATTTTCAGATATCTGAAGTGAATGGTCAAAAGATCACTGGAGTGAGAATGTTTCCTCTTTGCAGAAATTTTACATGTCAGCTTAAACTAGGATATTTGACCAAGTCATGGAATGTTTCCAGTGTTGCCTCACAGTATGTGAACACAGATCATCTTACTAGAAGAAAATTCTCAGCATTGTCTGTGAGTATGAACATTGTTGGTTTAAATATAAAGTAAATTGCTTGTTAGCTTAACATACTATACGAGAATACTGAATTAATGCACAAGTAAGAGTTCAATGCATGACCTTGATATTGCTGCTGAATCAACTTGCCACGGAAGTTGGAACTAAGCAGGATTTTTTTCCAGGATTTTGGAAACATGTCCCATACCTATGGAATTGGGAATTTCAGCTATGTTTTGTAAAAAATTGGGAATAAATGCATGACTGAAATTTTGCAGTGATTAATTGAATGCAAACAATCACTGTCTTAGATAGCATCTTCAGACAGTTTAGCACTATCACACTGAAGAAGCCCTTATTTTTTAAAGATTTTAGAATATATAATATTCAATATTTTTATTTTGTAACTTTCAATTGGGAATTTTTTCCTATAGTTTCGGAAAAAAATATACTATTTTCAATTGGGAATATGACCGAATGATGGCTATAAAATAAGCTTTGATACTTGCTTACTGTTGAAGAATTTATTTTCAGAGTCATCCATCACATCTGGAACTAAAGAAATGTCAAAACAGTCCATTGTATGTGGCAAACAGTAAAAGGAACTTGGAATACAATTTGTTTTCTAACCTTATTTATGTCGCACAACAACAATTTAACCTTGCCAATCAATTCACTGGTTTAGATTGGTGGTTGACTATTAGTAAGTGAGATTTTCAGCTTATTATCATTATTATTATTATTATTTGTAGTAGTAGTAGTAGTAGTATTATTATAATGATGATATGATTTTAATTATTTTCCTGGAGTTTGATTGGATGGTTGTATCTGTACACCTTCTGTAATAAGTATACCCTTATGCTTTCAAAATACTTTGATGGTTCTACCTATGGTATCTTTTGTCTTCCGTCACCTAACATGGCAAAGAAAGTTATTCTTCACATAAGTCACAATGTCTGTTGCCTTATTTAAGAATTTGAGGTAGCTGGCAAGCTTCTTGTTGTTTGAGAACCTGAGCCATGTTCTTAATTCTTGTTTTTTTTTAATAGTTGCAGAGGTCTGTGGCTGAGTGGTGAGTGGTTAAGGTTGTTGACTTCAAACCGCTTGCCCCTTACTTCTGTGGGTTCGAATCCCAACAGGGACTTTGGATTCTTTCATGTAAGGAAGCTATCTATCCAGCTGGTAGCTTACGAAGCGTTGATGGTTCTACTTTGATGCCTGTTTGTGCCTTAAATAATGCATGAAAGAGCACTTGAGGTCTTCTCCACCATTAAAGCTGGAAAGTCATTATACTGTGTTGGTGCAACCAAAAAAATCAAAACAAAAAAACATCAACAAATATGGCAAAATATGAACTTTTGGGAGAGCAATTTTACATACATGTACATAGCCTTTATTCAAATGATTGGTGTGCGCATATGTCAGCATAAGCTAAGTAAGTGGTTCCAAACTGATGCACAATTAGGTCACAAGAGCTAAAACAGACTTTAAAATTATATCTTTTCAGAAACTACAATACTCAGAGCTCAGATATTTAGATTGTAGCTTTACCATGTGATACTTTACAAAAGTTACTTAAATCATGCCCCTTTGGGTCACTTTGTTAATGTAGGCTTATATAATTATAGCAAAAGAGTCTGAAAGAAACAGGCCTCCAAAAGATAACTGTCCATTGCACTGTATTTCAAAAGTCTTAAAATAAAAATTAAATAGTAGAAAGAAATATCTCTGTAAAATGTGCATATTTTGACATTTTTACTCAGAAAAATAATTTTGTACCTTATATATATCAGTGTTTTTTTTTCTTTATATAACTACTACCCTAAAATGGTACCATTCCCAATAGAAAATAGACATTAAAATTCCCAATTTCCAATGTTAAATTCCCAAAATGGCTGTTCAAAATGCCCAAAAGGCCAAGTGATTTTTCTAAAATCATTTAAATCCAACATATTCATATAAATCACCATTCAGTAGTTCTATTTTGACAGTAGAAGCTGTTAGCTATCTTTATTCATGATGTCTAATCTCATTTGTAGCTCAAAAAATGCATTAAAAAAATACCCAATTTTAGTCAAAATAACGCATTTTTTCCCAATCACTCTGGTATCGGCACCATTCTCAAAGTAGAGAAAAAAACCGCTGTATATATTTTTTATACCTTATTAATCAGGGCTGTGTTTCAAAGAAAGTCAGTCTTAAGACCAAAACTGGGACAATTTTGCGTTTCAAAGAAAACTATGACTTTTAATTTCTGATGACAATGCTGGATGGGCATTTACACATTGCATAATAGGGTCTGTCATTTCTTAACTTTTTTCAGGAGAATAAATTTATTTATAGTCTACACATGTTTGACTGAGGATAAAAATGTTTATTGAAAGGGTCTTAAGTTTGTTTTAAACTTTAAAGTTGATTTTACGTCCTAGGATGCAGAATACACACAGGACTTTCTATGAAACGCAGCCAAGGTTTTTCAATTTTTAGATCATTGTCTGCTTCAGTTTTATGCTTGATACTTTAAATGCATTAATACAATGTCTGTTTCAGTTTTGTGTTCGGTGCCATTACGTACAGCAATAGCCTATTTTATAACAGTAAAAAAAGCCGAGTTTGACAAACATAACAGGTATATAACTCAAGCATTTCTAGAGCCAGAGATTTCAAGGATAAAGAGAGACATACAGGGAGGAAACTATAGGCATCTCAGTGCAGCAGACAAAAAAAAAGTGCATTCCAAACAAGTAAGATTTCAAACATTCTGTAATGTTTCACAGTTCACTGTTAGGACGCTGGATACAAAATTTGTTAGCCATTGCTTAAAGTAAAGAGTTTGGTTTTACCTGCACATCCATGCAGTTTGACTGGGCTTTATACTGTTGACTGTTTATTTTATATATTCATTCCTGTTCCCCAAAATTGATAATGAAGAGTCCCAAAAATGGAAGCTGGTCAAGCCCATTTATCAGACACTCAAGCAGATTATGCGACTCCGTAAATATGGTATTACACGGCCGTGCATATATATTGACGTGATGTCATTAGCGTTATACAAACATGTATTGTAAAGACGCGCTAAATGTTAGCATTATACTATAGGCGCGTCAATGGAAAATGACTCTTTTTTCACTTTAAACGGTCTTTATTTTGGGTATGTGATATATAGAATATTAAATTCATGTAAGTTCATCACTGAATTTATTGAACTCGTGAATAAAATAATATTGTGCTTCCCAGAGGCTTGCATAATATAATTTTATTCAACTCTGCAATAAATTCAGTATTGAACTTACACTCATTCAATATCCTCAATTTATAAAATTCAGCAGGTAATTAGAATTATGGGTCAGAAAAGTTTGATGTACACATATGATGTGGCTATTAATTTCTTATTCATATACAACGCACGACAGAGGGGTAATATATGACCAAATACAAATTTCGTTGAGGAAACAAAATCTTTTTATAAGGGAAGAGACCAATTCATGTATTTTTTTGAACATGTTTTTTATGAATGAAAAGGATTTCACTGAAGTGAAATGAACCAAAAGTTAATTAGCTAACAAGAAATTGCTAAAGCACAGACAATTGGGCAGACATAACAATTTTTTTTTCAAGACTTGTACACTAAGATGCCTGTAATGTTGTTCTTACTACAAATATATTTCATGCATTATACACTTGAACTTTTCCTCTTATATCACTAATGCAAATGCAATTCAATGAAACTTTACAGGATTGATCAGTAGCTCAAGTACTTGCATATATTACACAGGTTTTCCAGTTGAATGATTTTTAGCTGAGCTATGACCCTTGGATGTAAATCACATTTTGCCCTGTGAATGATTTTTGTGTCTCCTGCTACACAATAGCTGCAACATGCATTTGGTTATCATGAGGCGAAACACGTGATCACTGATTGCTCTTGTCTATAACAAGAAATTTCGATAATAAAAAAAATATCTCTGATGGTTCTAGGTGATACAGGGCAGACACAAATTGCTTGCAATGTTTGTCATACAACAGTATTGACATTTCTGGCAATTATTTTCAATAATTTTCAATGGAGTCTAGAGATACAAAGCAGGCATGAAAGTTTGAAAAACTCTTCTCTGCCATCAACGTATTACTTTATAAGTTTTAACAGATAGTTATGTCAAATGAAACAAGTACATGTGTATTTCCTTACATAAACTAAATAATAAATGCTAAAGAACACACCATAAAAAAGGTGATTTGTTTTTGTAGGTGTGGCAAAGTCAATTGTCCTTAATGCCCAGGTCCCCACAGTCTGTAGGGATAAATGAGATTTTTTCCAGATTTCCAGAAATAAAGAAATGCTTCAAAAATATGGAAAGTAAATGAAAATCATATTTTGTAAAGTTATTGTCAACATGCTGTATTGATTCATCATTGATCAAAATTACTAATATTAAAACCACCCCTACCTACAAATTCCAGCTTTTCTATTTGCCAATATTTTTTTAAACAGGTTTTAAAAATGTAAAAATTTGCATTCAGATTCTTTGATTAAAAAAAAACAGCCAGTGAGATCATAAATATGAGTTAAGGAGGCTGAGGTCATCTTTCTATCTTAAGTTTTTATGTTGTTCTTATATTACAGATGAGAATATCCTATAGAAAAATATGTAAGGAGCATAACCATAACCCTTGGAAACTGCTAATTTATGGTTTTGCCCCATTGCCATATTGGGCGGCTAATAGTCTAGCGTTACGAAAGATAAGTGGTGCACCCATGCCTTCGTGGCTAGGTGAATCAGGTGAGCAGTTGTTTCATTTTTGCAGAAGTATGCCCCCTTTTATATGTTGCTGTAATATACTATCCAGCACTGCTAAAAGTAGAGCTTTGTCTCAGAACAGATTTGATCGTGTAGGAAGCTATAAGCTTATAGACACACTTTCGAATCCGTTCCTGGAACCAACCAATACTGAGCAATGAGTGTAAAGTTTCTTGCTCAAGAGAACAAAGACTTGCCTCTGATGGGGTTTGAACCAATGCGGTTAGGGATCATAAGATTACTAGTCTGACGAGTTAACCACTCGGCCATGCTGCCAGGTCTTGTTAAATATCCTGGCTGCTAATTCAGTGCCAAAATTGTTTCCATCCACTGTTTAATAACAAAAAGGACCATGCTATCTTGTGGACAGCTTTTATGTTTTTTTTATCTTTTTCAGGTATATGTATATGTCCAGATATGACTACTGGAGGAATGCTTTGGTTTACAAATCTATGTGAACATGATCCTTACCATGTTTTATCAGTGATAACTGGATTATCTTTCTTATTTGCTATAGAGGTGAGTTCCTTTTTTTTTCAATTACTATAAGATTTGGCAAATTTGACATGAACATTTCTAAAGAGTTGTCATTCCAAGTAAGCAGAATATCATATTATGTCGTTTCTAGTAAGCAGAATATCAAATTACCTAAGCAATGAGAAGTGTAACTTTCTGGCTTGGAGAATACTAGCAAAAAATTCATGATGCTGTTTGTCTGTGTAACCTTTTGTCACAATGTCTTCAGAGAAGTCCTGTCGTCCATGATCTTTGGTTAAAATAGGTGACTTGAAATCACTTGTCAGTCTGCACTTTTGCTTTAATTCTGGCAGGGAATCGTGTTCTTCATTTGAGAACGCAATTTAACTATCATATAGAAGGTGAGTGGTTCTACTAATAAGCTCTGGCAGGCTTTTTTCAGGCATTTGAAAATTGCTGTTTTTTTTAGCTCACCTATGATAGCATTATGCCTTTAGTTATCCACATATTTTTTTTAAAACATCACATTTGGTATATGATGTCACCATTCCCACTGGGGAACATACGGAGTGTTGTAGTTTTTACTCAGGTGCCTGTTTGTGCCTAAAAGAGAGGCACCATGGGGTCTTCCTACACCTCATATGCTGGAAAGTGGCCATATCACCTTCACAGTGTTAGTGCGAGTTAGAACCCAACCATAAAATAAGTTTTATCAGTATTGAATACTGTAAAGGTCATAGGAAATCTTTTCTACTAAACTCATGATTTCTAGCCTTTCAGGATCATTGATTTGGGCACTTAGAGTGTTATTTTGTTGTAATTAGTGCTTCAGAGGGATCACGCTTTTTATTGGTGGAGGAA